CACATGCTTGAAAATAAATACACACTGGGCCATGTTTATCTAAGGCCTAATCAGCCCTTAACTTTAGTTAGGTCCCATTACAGGGTATGTTTATAAACTGACAAAGTTAGGCTTGAAGGTTGGCTTGTATTTTGTGTTTTAACATCACTATTTTTAGATCTACCCGCAATAATTCAGTTGCATTCTTCTTAGTGAATATAAAGAAATTAATTATTTACGGACTAAGACTTAAATATGAATCTAAAAAGTAAAAGTGTTTTTTTGCTGAAATACGTCAAACTGCATTATAAGTTTATTACACATTTGGATTTGTGTATACACTTAAAAGCGATACTAAGACAGTGGTAATAGATTATAAGGTAATATAAGTAGGCTATTTACGCTTAAAGGAAGAATGGCATAAAGATTTGAAAAGTGTTAAAACAATTCTAATAATTACATCTCACAAAATGACGCTCAACTGTTAAGGCCTGTCATGCGACTATCGGCTGACGATGTCGTCTAAACTTTAACCTATGAAATAAAAAAGCAAGTATGATTTTCAACTGTTTATTTGTTTAACAATAAAAATTAAATTTAAACTTAATTATGTTGTTAATAAACGATCCAAATATTAATTAGTAGAGGCCGTGTTAATGCTAATTTTAAACCAGTCTGCGGAAGCTGATAATCATATTCACAGTGGGTTTGAACAGACGAGGTCCACCGTCAGTCATAATACTGGTTTCACACGAGGGTAGCAAAGTGAAGCTGAACAAAGAACAGTAGACATTGCAGTACCGCATTTTTTTAACACACACTTATTGAAAAAGCAATACTGATCCTAAAAATCAAATCAAAAATTCAAAAACGTGTATAATTATTCCTATACATTTAAACGATTCTACTAAAGATATGGCTAACAAAAAGTTAGTTTATCTAGAGGAGTTATTCTATCTTGATGTGTGCGTTCAAACAGTAACAGTACTGTTCTGTTCTGGATGCTTGTGATACCCTCTTGTAAAAGTTGTAAATGGCGGGAACTACTGCCGCCATCTTGTTTCCAGACTCGTCGCGATCGACGCGGGAGATTAACATCGGCGGGCGCTGATGAATTAATTGCATGTTTTGTTTTAATCCAATGACCTTCGCTGCGGTTACATCGGTCATCTTTCACCTCAGATCGGACGATAGCTATCCGACATGACAGTTCAGAGGTTATTTTAGATTAGCAAATGTGATAATCCAATACAGAATTAACATAGATCGTAATACAATGTAATAATTAAAACAAATACGCAATATATATTTAGTTAATAACGGTCCCAGAAGAAGAACCTCTCCTTTGGTCGTTTAGCTTCAAGTACATATTTACTTTTTCATAAACATAAACAAAGATATTTGTTATTATTTAATTAGAAGGTAAGGATTCCCATACGAAAGAGAATAGGTCAAGGTAAATTTTAGTCTTAATCTAATCTAAAAGTTTGGCAAAACAACAACGACAATTAATGTAAGAAACGGTTAACGATTCCAAAGTCTAAATTGATTAATATCGATATACAAGCCATGATTGATAAATTTCAATAGAATTATCGAGAAGAAGAATTCCTGACTATTGGCATCAAACCATTGTTATCAATTTAACAGTGTGACATCGCTTAAGATATAAAGTAATTATATGATTAATTTCCTTCATCATCATAAGCTCACTATAGGTCCCCACCGAGGGGCTCGGAGCCTACCCTAAGTTAGGCCATAGTCAAACACGCTGGCCCATTGCGGGTTGGTTGACTTCACGCATACCTTTGAATTTCTTCTCAGATATATGCAGGTTGCATCACGATGTTTTCCTTCACCGTAAGAACGTCGGATAAATGTACTTATGTAAATCGGAAATTAATGTCCTTACTTCGTTACTAATATTATAAATGCGTAAGAAACTCTGTTTGTCTTGCTTTCGATTTAAAATAGCCTGTGTCACTAAATATGCTATCCGAAGACAATATTTCACGCGAACAAAATCGCGTGCACATCTAGTAATAACATACATTTTTAATATCGATGTATACTTTCATTGTGTTAGGTGTAAATATTATCTTATCACGTACGATATTAATGTACAGAATAAAACGTGATCAACGAATGCCTAACTACTGTTATCTTGAATCACGATACTTAAAAAGAATCCTCGTGAACTTACACTTTCAAACATACTCGGAAAATTTCTCCTTTTTCTTTTTAAAACGATAAATCTCTAGAGTTGAAACAATTTGGCAGCCATGCATTATTCCAGCCAAGCAGAAAATTGTTATTTGTCCTGCATTTATATTAAACTAACTTTTGCCCGCGACTTGGTCCTTGCGGAATTGAAAAAATACTTAGTAAGTAGCCTACGTGTTCTTCCAGACTATGTTCTTGATCTGTACCGAATTTCAGCTAGATCTGTTGAGTTGTTTTTGACATATCAAGTAACAAACATCCATCCAAAGTTTTGCAATTTCATATTATTTCAATAATAATTAGGTAAACTATGTAATTGAAAATATTGTTATCGTTAAATGTGAAATAACATGAATCTTGTAAAGATGACGAAACAGTTGTTAACCTCTGATTACTCGTTTGACCTTGATTATAAAGAGGGCTAGTAACCCATACTTTTATCGTATTTTATCTTTTTAATCAAATGTTTAATAAACGATATAATTAATTAAACATTGTCGCTAAGCGGTTCAATGTAAACAAACACACAAAATTATTTAACGAATAAAATGACGAAGGAATAAACATCATTCGTTTACATAAACTTAAACGATTATGTAAATATGGCGCCTCAAAACATGTAAACAATGGAACGTTATTTATAAATTCCAGCGCTGTCTGTGTTGCAAAAATGCAATTAAATGTGACACATCCTTGAACGATTATACGTTCAAATGTTATCAACATTACATACATACACAGCAATGGATGTATTACATGCTAAATTGTATCCTTTTTGGCATCTGAACAAAAACTAAGTAATTTATATTCTTGATATAACCTTGGATGCAGCTAACACGATACGAAGCCGTGCTCAATATACCTAAAGTTACCTATAAAATGTTTCTTATAATGATTCGTTTATTGCCCATTTGTTCGTATAATGGACATGCTCACTTGATAAAGGCGTGCTCTCTATCGGAATTTTCTATCAAGACAAACTGAAGCCCACTAACTAAAACTATAAATTTGATTGATTATGAAGTCATATAATAAATACGATTGTTTGGATGTATGGTTTGTTAGAAGGTATATCCAGTACCGTTCAAAGAATCTTGATGAAATTTGACACAAATGTAGAACATAGTCTGGAAGAACACATTGGCTGCTTACTACGCTTTTTTTAATACCGACCTAATGTAGTCGAGGGTGACAGGTAATTCTTTATAAATTTTACAAATGCTTTTTTTCATATTCGTTCTTCTTGCTTTTATGTTCACATATGTTCGTAATTTAAAATCACTATTTTAATTATAATATTATATGCTTGATACTGCATAATGATATTATTTGATAACTCATGTAACATGACATTGTTTATATGATACCAATATTACCAACATTATGTAGGTAATTTTAACAAAGTTTCAATAGAACTATTAACTATCAATTGGAGTTTTTGCTGTTATTGTGGTAGTGTATCTTTGTAACAACATGTGTTATCTTTGTATTATAGACACATTTAAATAAACACATTTTCTTTCTGTGCATCTCCTCCGTCGGTTAAAGGTAGGCAACGCATATGCAATTGCGTATGTCTATGGGCATTCGTCACTTCGCTATTTCACCGATTTCAGGTGGCCGCTCGCACGTTTGCCACCTTATAATATAAAAAAGACGTTCTGCTGATCTAGTCACCTATTGCTATAATGTGAGCACGATATTCAAATGTTAAACTAACTTTACAAGTAATTATTGCATGATTTTCTTAGTCATTGATGAGTTTTGATAACTGAATTGAATGGGATTAAAAAGCACTAACAATTTTAGTAAGGACTAGCTGTCGGCCGTGACTCCGTCCTTAGTATCCTTTGTGTTCTTCCAGGACTACACCTATGCCAAATTTCATTCAGATCTATGCAGCCGTCCTAGAAATACCTTTTAAGAAATATTCATTCATCCATACATACCTACATATATACATCCAAACATTTGCATTTATAATATTATTAAGAAGTAAACACTGGTTTTATTTCTTAAAACTTTCAGTGTCATCGATTCGCACAGAATTTTTAAGTAGGTAGGTAAACTGTGCTGTGGCAATGAAATTGAAATTACACAAACAGTTCATAAATCATTCAAATTTAATTATTATTGAATCGCTATATTATACAATGCGTTACACATGTAAGTACAACAAAAGAATTATCATTTTAAAGTTCTATCAATTGCTGATAATTATTGTCTCCAAAGGTGTACGTGATGTATACAAAGTATATACGAAATGTTTTGGGACACAAACGAGTTTTAACTCCGTTGTTTGGACGAAACAGCCGGTTCGTCGTATTCAATCGGGGGCCAACACAGCCCGCCACGCCGGCCGGTGCCTACGTGACGTCGCCCTCGTGCCACAGCAGGAGCAAGGGGAGGGGAGCGACGGCCATGTTTTGTTTCGTACTTATGCTACTTTACGTGGTTATCGATAATGTATTTCTTTAGTATTATTTTAATTAGATAATAAATTATAACAATGATAGTACCCTTTATGATACGACATATTGATGAAAGACTTGCTATAAATAATACAAACACATGACAAATAATTTATGAAATAAACCTTTGTTATCATTTTAATAATGCAAAACAAAATTGTGTTATAAAACATAGTACTATTTAAAATGTATGCAGGCAGCAGATTGTCATAAAAGTGGGTGAACTACAAATGTCACGCAATCTCTGAGTGTTATCGATGTCGATAAAGCTGAATGTAAACAATGCAACGCGTCCCTATTGGTTATTTTGACCGAGGCACTGGAAGTAGCGTGAGCAAAGCAAAACACAACAAAGAATAAAGAATCAGTCAGTTACTACTGAAACAGAGAGTTGATCGCACGTATACTTACGATCAAGACGTTGTGTTTATAATATTGAGTTAATTTTATTAGAAAGCGTAAACAGTTTTATTGCATTTTACTGCAATATACTTATCATCGTTCCTTCTAATTTGCAAGAATGTTTTCAACGAAAAAGAGCTGGGATAAGATTTTGCAAATCTACAAAAATGAAATTCGCCGGCAAATTAGCAAGACAACAAGCGTTACCAACTCCGATGCAATGGCACCGAGGCTCGATCAATCAGCGAACAAGTCACCGCAGAACGATGAAATTGGTCTACCTAAGAAATTGTTGAAGTTGCAGAAATATCACAGGTCAGTGAACTCAGTTTGCTGGTGCAGTTTGCGTAACGCACAATCCCGTATAACGATGTATACATTTCTTATACAACTCCTATTAAGTTTCCATCATTATTTTGTCTATTTAATGCAGTATAGGTATATCTTGGAACCAACAAAATTCTTATGATGAAGATTGGGCCAAATTATGCGCCGTACATGATGGTAATTAATGGTATATCAATCTCCTAATTTAAATCGTCTTCATGAAATCAGTATGTTGACTTTTAATGTTTTATTTACTCTTTTAAAATGGTTTCTTTTAAGGTGTGTAGTTAAAATTAATTAATTTGACCGTCTAAGTATGGTTTAGGCCAAGACGATGAAATGAAGTTTTTATCTTTAGATTCCTGTCAACCCTCACGCCGCAGCAAATGCCACTGGCCGCCCGCGGACTGGCGGTCTCCAAAGACCAGTCCCGGGAGTTCATGGCTTGCTTCCCGGACATCGTGAGGGACCTCACAAAGACTGGCAAGCATATTGACGTGCCGGAAGCCAGCAAGTGGTTGGCTAAGGTACGTTCTATGTTTTTTGTCAGTCTTAAGACAGAATAATATAGAACCTATTTGCGACGCAAATATAAACCAGTTAAACGGGTCTTGGCCAGCGAGATTTTATCGACATCCCTATACATAAACTTGATCGTTCGATTAAAAAAAACACATTCATTGACTTAAATCTATATAGCAATTCAATGTGTTAAAATCATACCAAGTTCACTATCACGCTAATATGATAACATGTCAATAGGACAAAACAACTTTTCTTTATTAGGAGTTTTACTACTTTTAGAAATGTAGTAGTAGGTAGTGATGGGTAATTCAACTTAAATTGATGAACTAAAGAACCGCAACGGTTCACATGTGTGAGCAGATCAGTAAACCAACTCGCAGCTCGGCTTAATTTGTACCTGCATAGTTATGATATGCGTTTCGGACTGCGAACTTCACTAGGCAGCTCGCGACTCTTTGGCTCACATTGTTATTGTACATCGCGATGACCCGCGAATTGCCAAATTAGTCGTGGAGCCATAGCTCAACGATTCAAATGTTATGTGACCCGATCTTTTGGACGTTCCTTTGTTTACAAATTTTAGGAATTCAATTGGAAAGAGATCTAGAAATAATTATAACTTTATATTTAGTCGTAATATTTACATTAAAGACCTGTGCCACGACTAAAGATTGTCACTCTTAGTTCAAATTGTTGTTGGCTCTCCCTTACTTGATTTGGCTTGTCACTTTTACATGACTAACTTAGTGACATTTGGTATCCAAAATGTGTCTTAAAATTGACGCAGGTAAACAAAATTATGGTAGGAGGTATGTAGTGTTTGCACCTGCCTAACAAAGCGTTATTATAATTATGAACAATATTTTGCAACAAAAAACTGAACAAAGGGTACTTTACCATTGTTGTCGTAGATTGAGGTATTGAAAGTACTCTATTTGATAGTTATCTATTGTTAGAACTCAGGTAGCTCATAAAAAAAGGATAAAAAAGTACAAAAATATTATTAGTTAAAATTCAATTTTTTTTTAATGAATAATTCTGTTTATGACCTTTACTTTTCAGTTATTAAAATTAAATAATAGTAATAAGAAATCTATTTTATATTATGAACATAATAAATTCTCCGATACTACGATGTTTTGCGGGAATATTTGCAACGCTTCGACGCACCGCATATTATTTCCGTTTAGTATTTAAAAAATATTGAATAGTCTATTCTAGTTCATGAAATATCATTCAATACCTTTCATACGTTTCAAGAAATTGTGTAAATCAAACGAGCAATCGCTGTTAACTTTTGTATACTTAATAAAATAATTCGTCTGTTGTTACAGTTGTTACAATACAATGTGCCAAATGGAAAGAAGAATCGAGGACTGGCTACCGTACTTGCGTACAAAATGCTTGAGAAACCTGACAACTTGACACCAGAGAACATACATTTGGCCAACATCATGGGATGGTGCACGGAAATGGTAAATAAATTCGTTACTATCAACACACTGATTTGCTAAAGAGTCACGCATTGATTTCATTTTCATTTCATGTGATTGCCTTAGCATAGATATTCTTTACTTTCAAATCTTAGTAATAATATAAAAGGGAAAGGTTAGATGTTTGTTTGAAGGTATCTTCGTAACGGCTCAACGGACCTTGATGAAATGTAGCATAGATGTAGACCATAAGAGTCTAGGAGAACACGTTGGCAACTAATTAGTTTTTTTTTTCAATTCGGCGAAGTTGCGATTGACAGATAGTATATAAATAAAAAGTTACGTTACGTATGTTCTATTGTATAGTCAAAGTGTTTTTATGTTTCCCATATAATATTAACATTGTATTGTAATTATAAACGTAAATTAAGTTAAAGTAAATTGTAAAAACTATTACGCGTAAACAGCGGCTTGTGTTATATTTTGCTGACGGTATTATCCCGAAGTTGTCTTTTGCTGAAGTTTAATTTTTTAAGCTTAAAAAATATAATAATAATTAATCATGAATTAAAAAATATTAACTGTGAAATAAATTATCTATATTATCAATTATTTCATAATTAATTTATAAATATTTTTATGACATAACTATAATAACTTTAGTGTAACTAATCATGTTTATGCAACATTGCTATAAAAATGCCGCAGGCAAAAGCAACAAATGATAGACAACCGAGATATACAATTTACTCTGCTCTATTTTACTCACAAATTGAGACAGATAATTGTTTTTATCTACTTAAAAAAATATCGTTCCGTAAACTTGTTGATTACGATTATATACATTGGAACTAAAGCCTAAAATTCCAAATTAATAACTGACTACAACTTGATATTAACTAAATGTGTTTATGACGTAATTCGCGCATATTTTTTTTAAAGCAACGTCCAAATTGAGATTTGTTTTTACAATTATAATGTTGACGATAATTTACACCTCATGTATTTTATTGGGCTAGAAGTTACACATTGCCATTTATAGTAATTAGTGGTTGTTCCTTGGTTGAAATTCGTTCATAATTCACAAAGATTTTTTTTATTTTCCATAAAAAAGAGGTATATTATCTTTGCTTCATGCATTTGATTAAATCGACCCATCGGGGGAACAACTTTTAAGAAATGTAACCGCTGGTTTCCTAGATCTTTGTAAAACATGTTTTAAAAAGATGATTTTGGTCTCCGAAACCCACGGTACGTGTCGTTGGATCAGTTTTTTTACTATTTTAAGGTAGTGATAATCGTCCCTTGTAAATGACATGAGACAGATATATTTTGTAATATTTCCATAGAATTAGTACAGATAATAAATATTATAATCTATTTTTTTTTACAGTTTCACACACATCAGTTGCTACTGAATGATATAATGGAGGGTTCAGAGATGCGGCGCGGCGCACCCTGCTGGCACCGTCGCCCTGACGTCGGTCTTTCTGGCATCAATGACGCGGTCTTCGTCCAATCCGCTATGTATTCCACACTTAAACGTCACTTCTCCGCTAAATCTTACTACAAGAACGTACTGGAAATGTTCAATGAGGTAAGACAAATATGTAAATCATTAATCTTATTATAAATACATAGATTGACCCCAATTTCTAGAGGGGATCAAATATTGCAATCTTAATAAAACATCAGTCAAAGATTTTTTGCGACCCAAATTCGTTTATCATCTCCCAGTCCTTGTCTCACTTACGTAAGGTTGGACACAAATTATCTTACTAATATTGTAAATGCAAATGTTTCGATTGATGGACGTTTGAACGTATCTTCAGAACGGATGCATGAATATCATAACACATATTCCACTCTTTAAGTTTTTTTTTAATTCCGCACGGACGGAGTGGCGTTCGACAGCTAGTAACATTCTAAAAATAGTTGAATAACCTTATAAAAACAATAAAGAATAATCAACCAATATATTTCCTTGTAAAAATGGATTGAACCAATGTCATTTTTATAAAAATCAACATTTAATGTATATTCTATCCATTCACAGATGTTACTGAAGTGTTCCATTGGTCATCATTTAGAGAAACAGTTGACAAAGACTGATAAACCGGATCTTTCATTATTTACTATGGAAAAATATGAAGCTATCACAAAATACAAGACTGCGTACTACACATTCCAAATGCCAGTTGGCTTGGCTCTATTGATGACAGGCATCGACGATCCAGAGACTCACAGACAAGCGAAGACGATCCTTTTGGAAATGGGCGAATTCTTCCAAATACAGGTTTGATTATAATACGTAACTAGTAACCAATGTTATCCAAAACAATCAGGAACAACGTATAGGCTACTTTTAATCCCGAAAATAGTACTCGAAACGAAAAAGCCAGTTTTTAGTTTAGAATAAATTCCACACAAACGAAGACACGGTCTAGAGCTAGAAACAAAGATGCAATCTAATCTTACTAATATTATAAATTCGAAACTTTAGATGGATTGATGGATGTTTGTTTGATCTTGATGAAATGTAGAAAATATTCTAGAAGAACAATTAAGTTGTTTCTTAATTCCGCGCGGATGGATATTTTAACAAATTAATATTTTTTTCTACATATTATTGTTTTTCAATTGCAGGATGACTTCTTAGACTGCTTTGGAGATCCAGCAGTAATCGGCAAAGATGGCTGTGATATTCAAGACGGCAAATGTACGTGGCTTGCCGTCGTAGCACTACAAAGGGCAACACTGGAGCAACGGCAAATAATAGAAAACCACTACGGCAGCGCTAAACCTGAAGATGTTGCCAGGATTAAAGATTTATACGAAGAATTACAATTGCCTCATACATATTCGGTATACGAAGAGGCGACATACGATCTCCTTAGGACACAAATACAACAAGTCACTAGAGGCCTGCCACATGATTTATTCTTCAAAATCTTGGACAATATCTTCAGGCGAAGTGTTTAAATTTATAATTTGATAACCCTACTATTACTAAGCTTTATAAATGCAAAAGGTTATTAGGTATTATTTGTGTTTAAAATTTTTATGTACTACCAGATACGAAACCATTTTTTAACCTTATCGCATCAATAATTATATGCATATGCATATATATAATAGGTATATGCTGCTAATAATATTGGTACCAGTTCTAGATTTTAAAGGACCAAATATCTTGTAAATCTGGTTCATTTTCTTTCATCGTGTTGTGTATTCGTAATGCTCGAATTATTTTATCTCACTTTATTATTTTTTTATAATAATATTCGTCACACTTGTTTTCCTATCCAGTTCTAATCTTTTTAAATTTTTATGATTAAAGAGTTTTTAATTAATAAAATAATCGTATTAAGTTAGTTAAATATATTATAATTTATAAGATGTAGATTTTAAAAAATAAAATTGAATACATACATTTTGCATTTACTTTTATTGAATTACTAGTTGCGCCCTTGACTCCGTCCTCGCGAATTAAAAAAAAAATATAATTAGTAGCGTGCGTAATTCGCACAACGTAACAAACATCAGTCAATCTAAACTTTCACATTCATAATTAGTAACATAATAATTAACGGTTGCAAGGATAAATTTTCATTAATATTGTTTACTAGCTGTCGCCCGCGACTCTGTCCGCGCGGTATTAAATAAAACTTAATCAGTAGTCTATTTGTTCTTCCAGACTATTCTACATTCATGCCAAATTTCAGCGAGATCCGTGCAGCCCTTCTGGAGATACCTTAAGATAAACCATCCATCCTAACATTCGATTTATAATATTATAACAGCGGAAGAATCTGCAATAGCATCAGCTGCTGCAAGATGTTACGCTTAAACGTTACAATATCAAAAAAGACGCGTCGGGTCAAAGAAATCGCGTTCAGTCTGATGACCATGTGTGGTGAGGGCCAAATTGTAGTCCACTTCCCCTAACCACAGTTTCGTTCGAAAAGGTTTTGACAGGGGAGGGGAAGTAAACGAAGTATACTTTTTGTGTACGTCTCCTCCTTTGTAAAAGAGCAGTTACTTCGCTATTTTAGCGATACTAGGTTACCGCCTGATTGTTTGTCGCCTTTTAAATCGGCGATAAACTGACAACATCCTATCCCATGCCATTATAATTTAAATAAATACGTATGTCAGCGAACCGGTTCACTGATCTACATCGCTTCACACATGTAATCTGTGAGTCGATTTGCTGATCAACAATTTTAGTCGAATTACCTGACTATTAATTATATTATTAAACTTTATTAAACAAAGAAGTTAAAAATTAACATAATGAGGCTGTATTCGTTTTACTTTTTATGTAAATACAAATTGCTTTATGTAAATGATATCAGTGGGGCAACTTATCACAAAAAATCTTCTAGAGGCCTTTTAACTTGCCTCACTTTTGTGCTCCGGATTAGGTGCCTATTGCTTCATATTTGTAAGTACGTCAATAAATATTTATGTATGTAGATTTATTTAAAAAAAATCCTTGAATAATCTCGACGATCTTTCCTGTGACGATTGCTGTTCGCGATAAGAATATATAGCATAACAGTGTAACAAATAACAAATGCTTCATCTTAGTAGATTAATATATTATTATTTAATGTTTGGTTGAATTTCCAATTTTTTTTTACATACTGAAAAACGATCTTTGGGCCACGGTCAGTTAGCATCAGAAAAAAGGTATTATGGCATGACAAAATTGGCTAGCATGAATGATTTGACTTCAGCGTTATAAGGATTTATATCTACACTAGTTGTCGCCCGCGACTACGTCCGCACAGAATGAAAAAATAATAATAAGTAGCCTTAATGAAGTTGCAAGAATAATTTCAAAACTGGTCTCTTATTTTCACTGACAATGACAGTTGATACAGTTTGAATGACAGTGTCAAAATGACAAATTTTATTTTGACAGTAGCTGTCATGAGCATTCAGTCATAATATAAATAATTCACATTCACACATTCATTTACAGTCAAAACACAAAAGACCTTTAATATTAATAGCAGTGCTATAAATTATTTGACGAGTAATATAATTATAAAGTAACGTCTCTTAACTTTTCATTTAAATTGGATTATTACTATGACCAAAAGTTCATTCTAATGTTTATAAGTGACGTGTTACGTGAAAGCATCCAAATTCTTGAGTTCAATTCAAGTGAAAGTTAAAAGAATTAAAAGAAACAAGTGAGAATTAAAAATGAATTTATCTAAACATTTCTTATCCAAAATCGTCAAGAGATCTAATGGAGTTTTCTCAGACCACAATTATATTTTAAGGTGAATATTTTATTCTAAATAATGGTAAGTATATTAGATTTCGATTCGGGATGTTATGTTGTTTTACAATACAACCAGCGTAAGATTATTCAGTTGAAATAATGCTACCAAGATAACATCAAACTGAATATTATATTTATTCATGTCTTACTTCGTCAGTGTTTGTTGCTTCATTTTATTTGGTATTGAACAGCGTCCAGACACACTGTGGAGTAATGTTGTTTCAAAAAATACTGTGCAATATAAATGGTGCTGTTTTCAATTCAGTGACAAGGCATACTCTACGCAGGTTTTTTATTTTGTTTATTTACAATAATTATTGAGTTAATTTTTTAAAAGAAAATTTTTAATTTACATCTGAGTTAGAGGTTTAAGCTATGATATTGTTTTAAATTTTAATATCACAATTTTTTGGCCAATGGACATGACTGTAATTTTTTTGTGCATATATTGGGCAATCCATTGTGATATAATGCTGATGCATAAATAAATAGCTTTTGGCTTAAATGGGTTTGTCAATTTTAAAGAGCTGTCATTCATATTTTTTTTTCACTTTAAATTGTTAATGTTAATAGACCTTTGCTGCAATTTAGTTGTTGTGCACAATTGCTATTTTTGCAAGTAATTAATTTTTTAACATTTCTAATATTGTATTTGACTATAGTATAAATAGCAGTTAGACATGACCAGAACTGTATAGTAGTTGATTGGTGAAAAAAAGTCTTATACATTGGAGTTCAAGCCTGTGGTTCAGGCCTATAAAAAATTCTGAAGGTCAGTTCTTTGGCCTAGACTATCTATAAACTATTTGCCATCACCTAGAAAAATTTAGTCTTCTGTAACTTTTTGATATAAAATCATCTCTAATAATCGAAGGCAAAAACATAGAAGTCTTGTGTTATAGAAATTAAAAATAAAATAACATTTAATCCTTTAACAATTTACATAAAGTGAAGTGAAATTTAATTTATTAGGCATATTGAAAGGTATAATGACAAATGGCAAAACTAGAATATATAGGAGATAATTTATTTTACATATTTTTTGTTATATTTTTTTTGGTTTTAGCATATTGAGAAGCAATAGTTGTAAAATGGCAACTAATGTTTCAATATCTGAGCGGCAGAAAGAAAAGGAGACATTTCAAGATGTCCTTCCAAATGTTATTCAATCTATAGTCACAATACCTAAATTAATAGAAGTCCCAGAGTTTTCTGTATGGATGAAAAAGGTATGTACTAATACAATACATTATAATAAATTGCTTGAACATATTATAACTTGGTCAAAAGTGAACACCTTGGAGTTCCCGCTGCTCGTTTGCCTCCTTCTGTTTTTTATAAAAAAAGTGAAATAAAATAGATATAGAGTTCCATATTTTAAAAATAGAACATTATGTTTAAAACTTTTTTTCTGTTTCCATATTTAACATCTTACTAATATTAATAATGCGAAAGTTTAGACGAATGGAAGGATGGCTGTTTGTTAGTAACTCCGGAACGGCTCACCGGATCTTGATAAGATTTGGCACAGATTTGGAACATAAAAGAACGCATAGGCTACTTATTTAGTTTTTGGTGTTTGCTTGAATTAAAATAAATTAAAAACAAGTTAAAAAAAAAGAATAAGATAGGTTTGGAATTAAATATTGCTATTAGAGAGAATGTTACAAATGAAATTTTAAAAGCTATATGTTTTTTTAACAGGTCTTAGAATATAACTTAGCTGGTGGAAAGAAGAATAGAGGTCTTATAACAGTACAAGCATATGAGATGTTGGAAAAACCAGAAAATATAACAGAAGAATCATTAAGACAAAGTCGTATAATGGGATGGTGTGTAGAGATGGTAAGTACAAAATTAAAAAAAAAAATCTCAAAGCAACATATTACTGATTTTTTTTTTATTTAAATAATTTTTTGAAGGGTTTTTTTCGCATAATTATTTAAAAAAGGAATATTTTGTCTAATAAAGGCTTAAAGTATGAGATGAAAATTTTGATTTTGTTTTTTAATTTCAAACTAATTAAGTCGCTAATACCAAGTACTATGAAGTATAAGTCTTTGCTAAAGTATAATTAATTTGAATTTTAGCCACAAACTGTACATACTCTTGGACTTATAAGTCTTAATTACTATAAACATTATTTCCTTGTAAAATGTCTATTAAATAAAGTTAAAAAGTAATTATTTTAATGTTTAATAAATAGAGTTAAATGGAATAAATAATCAAATATAATAATTTCATCATTTAAAAATCAAACCACAACTTTGCCTTATTTTCTCAATCATCTACTCAATCTTGCTAATATTATAAATGCGTAAGTTTAGATGGATGGATGTTTGTTAAAAGGAACAGCTCAGCGGATCTTGATAAAATTTGGCATAGATATAAAAAATAGTCTGGAAGAACAGATAGGTTTCTTATTAAGTTTTTTTAATTCAGCGCTTGCAACAGCTGATTTGAAAATGCAACGTTTTGATTTGTCAACTACACTTGTTTTTTAAATCTTTTTTTTTTTTGAAAAAAATGCAAACTAATATTTTTTTTCTGTGTTGACTTATAGGAATTGTCGGGAATTTACAATGAGATAGCAAAACAAAACATCAGAATAACTAAACACGGATGTTGCTTCATGATGTTATTTACTTAATTATGTCGATGATAAATTTAATTGCCGATAAAAAATATCTTTATTGTGAACTCATCTCTTATAATTATCATTATTCTCTGCTTTTGTTATGTAGAAAATATCTTATTTACAATTAGAAAAGCAATAAGTTTTTTCTATTTAACTTGCTGTTGAACTCGATGTATTTGCGTTACTTACAACGTAAATGTAATTTTCAATACTTTTGTTTGTCTATCTGCCTTATTATGTCGGACTTTGACGAGAAGGTAGCCGATATATGCGGGAATGTTACTGCATCAGCTATCCCAGGCGATCGTTAGTCTACTAATATTATAAATGCGATTGTTTGCATGTATGGTAGAAGGTATGTCAAGAACGCATAACGAATCTCCGTGAAATTTTTCAAAAAGTATGCGTGGGATGACAAAAAAGCAAAAGCTGTTTTTGCTTTTTTGCTAAATACTAAAAAAAATCTACTAGTTCCTTAAAAATTTCCTCGTATATTGCCGCTTAATTTAATAATTTTGTCTTCTTCTTCTTCTAATGCCTCTCCATTACTGAAGGTTGGCCGTCAGCTCTGCGAACTCTTTCTTGTCCTGTTAGTTTTGTCTAAAAATATATATTTTTCCTGTTGTTTATAGCTGCAGGCCTATTTATTAATGACAGACGATATAATGGATGGATCTACTACCCGTCGAGGGGTCCCTTGTTGGTTCCGTTTGCCGGAGGTCGGCTTGGGAGCTGTCAATGATGTTATTCTGGTCTACACCGCCATGATGGAAGTATTAAAATTACATTTCGGGGACAAAAATGAGTACACTCATATTGTGAATTCGTTTAACGAAGTAAGTATATTTGTGTATTTAGGGTCTTTCATACAAAAGGCAACGGAAATCTTCGAAACTAATACAGTAGTACAGCGTTCAATCGTCGACACGAGTCGACTATTCAGTCTGTACAGGCATAGCTTTTATTTGTTGATTGTACAGATTAGATCCACCATCTTGAAATTTACCAATTTTTAGTGACTCTCTCGGCTTTAGCACCTAAATAATGAAATGTCGGCGACGCGTGCAATTGCGTAAGCCACTACCAGCTAAAATCGCTGCCGGTTTTAAAGATTTGCGTTGTCTAATGTACAAATTAATGAGTTTCGCAATATTTTGCAGTACTTTTATATCAAAATATGGTTTAGTAGGAAGTTAACAGAGTAAAGAAGTGCCAATAGTCTTATGGTTAAGGATACGGATATCCGATAACGTTACGGTTTCCAATCCCTCCAGAATAGTTAGGTGCTAGATAAAAATAAATTATTTTTTGTAAATGGAAAGCAGCAGTACAATCCACAGTTTTTTTTATATCATAAGGTGGCAAACGAGCGAGCGGCCACGTGAAATCGCTGAAATAGCGAAGAAACATACGCAATTGCATATGCGTTCCCTATCTTTAATCGATAGAGGAGAGGATGCACAGAAAAAAAATATTTTCCCTTTCCATGCATCCTCTCATCCGGAAAGTACACTTCCACTTCCCATCTCTTCCTTTTAACAAAAAGGGTGGGAAGGGAAAGAGGACTAAATTAGGCCTCCGGGACGCACACTGATCAGATGAAACGCGTAATTGCTTCCATTTGGCGCCTGAAAACAACACTACATGAAATGTTTTTTTTTTTAATTAAAATGGTTTTTTTTTTACAAAATCTATTTTTTTCTAAGAAAGAAGATTAGGTATACGTCTTTATTTAAGAAGTAACTAGTCTCACAATTCTGTTTGTACATTATTCAAATGTTTCCAATGACCTCTATACAGCATAGAATAAACAATTGATTTTCCTTTATCTTTGTACGTAAAAAAACTTATGTAAATCCGTACATTGATACATACGCTCAATGTGTGATGCTATTCCATTTATTATTGTCTCTCGCTTGCATTTCATTAATACAAACCTTTATGTAATTCACCCGCCTCTTGCTTACATCACTTTTTCACGTAATTACATATTATCAGACTTTGAATACCGAAGTACCAACTCACAATATCTTAGTAAAATGAATACTCTATGTAACATTGGTATGAATATTACTGGATAGTCTGATAAAATATTCTATATCCATAAGGTAAATTAATACAACTAAGTAATGCCTGTAGTCCATAATGGTAGGCAGAGATCACGGATCTTCATTTGGCGTGGCCAAACGAACCTCCGCAATACACTTTTCGCCCTTGCGGGAGACTAAACATGACGGGTGGCGAGCCTCGTCGCCTTTTTGTCCCCAAAAATTCACACACATCTTTGAAATTCATTTATAATTCTTTTCAAATATCTTGGCGGGTAAAGTCATCAGTGCTGTGCGTATCCCGCTACTACTCAATACACCTATATCTGCAGCGACTCGCGCAAAGTTTAGAGCTGTCACAATACCTGAATACTACTATACCAAGTTAAAACCAATACAAAGTACGCATTATATAACTCATGCTTCTAAAAAACGTTGATGTACAAGATAATGATTTGCTTTTGTGATAGCAAACAATGCTTTTTTAAATAATATATTCTTTTCAGACGTTAATGTTCACATCCTTAGGACAGCATTTGGATTACACAATGGCGCATAGGAAAAAGAACGATTACAGTCTATTTACGATAGATAGATATAATGCTATCGTTAAATATAAGACATCTTATTATACATTTAAACTGCCTATATGTTTGGGCATGCTTCTAGCTAACATCACAGATCCCAACAGTCATAAGATAGCTGAAGAGATCTGTTTAGAAATCGGACATCTGTTTCAAATGCAGGTAATAATCATTTTTTCTTTTTATGTTTTAAACAATCTGTAATTTATTTTCATCCCATTCTTAATTATTGTATATTTTTGCGTCGTTTAAAAGAATTAAGAATATTTTTTGTGACCAAATAAGTCTAATATTAACTCTTGTAGGTCGGTCTGTATATTCGGAGCTAATGACTCGTGCATCTGTTTAAATCTTGCTGCTATAGAACTAGATTTCGCAAATAAAAATAATTGTTATCAATAGATAAATGAGTAGAAAGTAGAGAAACATCGCTTATTCTAGTTTTTAGTTTCTTTTTTTACTCGCCTAACAATGAGGGTAATGTTTTTCGCGCGTAAAATTGTGACGGCCTAGAGCAGTCTTTCCCAAAGTGTGCGATAACGCCCCCCTGTGGGCGCTGCAGGTCTCGAGGGGGGCGGTAAGAGACCCAGAAAGAAAATGGGGGCGTTGTGTAGAGGCCTGGGGGGTGATTTGTAATTTTATTTAGCTAAAAGCCTATTAGACAACGAATGCATGAGCTCTCAACAACAACTTGTGAACATCAATTAATATGAATTAAAAGATTGCTTAAACTCTAATATGGGAGCGCTAAAAAATATTTATTCTCAAAGTGGGCAGTAGACAAAATAAGTTTGGGAACCACTGGCTTAGAGCCTAAACGACTTAAGCGATTTTAACAAATGAGGTGTCATTTGATTCGTCTTCTTCCTCGGAGTCTCATAAGGTAAGGTAACATCTATACAAAACATATAAAGGAGGTGGGAGATGAAAATAAAAAAATAAATGTAAAATTAACAAGTTCAAATCTCCAATAACTTTTTTCATTTCTCAATTTTTTTTGCGATGTATTATATATAATTAGTTTGATTAATTTTCCAAGAATATTTTACATGAAAAAACATTATTACACAGGACGACTTCATAGACTGTTTCGGTTCGGAATCCGTGACTGGTAAAGCGGGTACTGACATCCAAGAGGGTAAATGTTCTTGGCTTGCTGTTACTGCGCTGCAGCGCTGCAATGATGCTCAAAAGAACGTATTCGTATCCTGCTATGGGAGTAAAGAGCCAGCTCATGTTGAACGTATTCAACGACTGTACGAACAATTGGGACTACCTAAATTGTACAGAGAAGAAGAAAGGGCGAGATACGACGCGGTAGTCGAAAGAGTTCAACATCTACCTCCTAATACAAATCTCCCTCCTGAACTCTTCCTCAGGACGCTAGATATGATCTATAAGAGGCAACAATAATTTATAAATGAGAGGCTAATATGAATAACCGTTGTTCTTAAAAATTAAACGGCTGGATAGTTTAAGATTTTTACTACATTTTTTTTTAATTTATTATTGTTCAGTAAACATTTTCGTTAACAAATGAGTGGTACAAGATATTTTAACATGTTTATAAAAATATTATTTTATGTGGCAGTGGAAGCTCACGGTTAGATTAAATATAAAGGTTATGTTATATTTACGTATTGAAATCTACGGATTCGTAGTCTTATTATTATCCAAAGTAAAATAATGCTTCCATTTTAGATTACTTATTTTCGAAATACGATCGAGTAAAATTTTACTAACTTTAATAACATTCAATATCTATATATAAAATACAAAGCAGATTTTCCGTGAACCTTTTCGATTCTTTGCTCGTTTGCCCCTTCAATAAAAAAAATAATCTCAGAGCACCGAGAGACCTAGACATTTCATAACCACTATTTTAAAATAACGACGTTACAACATTGTAATTCGTTCTATCATTTTACGATATAAACTGTCGTTTACAAGTACGCGTTGTTTACATGACAAAGGTCAATGTTCTTTTAATAAGAACTAGCTGTGACCCGCGACTCCGTCCGCGTGGATATCTAAAAAAACTTAATTAGTGTAGCCCACCCATCCATCCATCCTCATCACATCCATCTAA